ATAGTATTATTTTTTTCAAAATAATTAAATAAACACTATATTTAATTTAATATCATAATTATTATTAATCTGCACTATTAAAATAAATAATTAATTAAAATGAGCCAATGGAATGAGATGTTGAAAGAGGTATTAAAAAACACTTGAGCCCAAAATTCCCTACCCAATGTTAACCTCGACCCCTCAAAATTAGTTTTTAAAATTTTACTCATAGCCTAACTGTTATTATAGAAAATAAATATACATGCATTCATACATGCAAACAACTACATCAATGTTGAATTTGAACTACGACGTCTCATAGTTAGTTTTGTCAAAACCAAAAAAAAATGCCCCCAATAACTTTAAAGCATTCGCCACACATGACATAACATGCATTGACACCCTCTTCTCTTGTCACCTCATTAATTACTCGATGGTGACCTTAAAATCTCAGTTTGTGTTTACTACAATCAATGCAACACATGGCACTACTAATGAAGGGTTTCTAACAAGGAAGAATGAACCCTCTTTTTTTAATATATAAAAAGAAAGAAGTGTTTTTAGGCATGAAAAACCAAACATCTTAGAACATGTTTAGATTAGATGCAAACCTCAATTAGAATGGGTCTAACTGCAGTTGGGATATAAAATGTTTAAAAAGTTTTGTTTAGATTAACATAATTTTTCAACCTTAGTTGGCATGCTAACGTGCGTTAATGCTGAAGCTCATCATCTGGCTTTTCTCTCCTGGGCATCAACGTGAATGCCGTTGGAAGCATTAAATATATTTTAAATTTTGATGATTTCTCTCCTTTACTTTTTATCTACCAGTTGCACCTTTCCTTTCCTTTGTGCATGCTGCCATGACCTTTGAAGCTGTTGCAAAGCCCACAGATGTGCTTCTTCCTTCAGAACATTTGCTATACACCTCGAAAGCTGCTTCACAGATCTGCTTCTTCCTTCCATTAGCCAGGCGATGCCGTCCATCAACTTATCTTTAAGACTCACATCTTTTATACCTTCAGAATGCTCGCTCGTAAATCTGCTTCTTCCTTCCATTAGTCAGGCAATGCCGTCCAGCAGCTCATCTCTACTGTGTTGAAGCACCTTCGGCCAATCTCTAGCTCTCTACCGTCCTTTCTAGCTTTCACCGTGTTGGAGCTCTGAAATGGTTCTTCTCCATGTCGCATCTCATCTTCACCATGTCCACTAGATCTATACTTCCTATCACCAGATCTACTCCCCATCACCTGCCCTTGCTAAGTAAGGTTGTTCTTTTCGTCTCCTTCCTTCCTGCCGTGCTCTACTATTCCTTCTTTGCCTTATTTTTTTCTTCCTTGACTTGAATGCTTAGTGATGATCCTCGGTGGCTGTTTCTGGAACTTAAGATTGTCATTTTATTTTTCAATCCCCTGCAATGAGAAATGATATCTACTTTTTTGGCTGAACTGATATGTGCAATGAGAAATGATATTTGTCTACTTTTAGAAATGATTGTCGGTGGCTGTTTCTGGGCTTCTTGCACTAAAGTTGAATGCGAGTATTTCTGTTTGTGGCTTGCATAATTAAAACTAAAGAAAATGAATAGAAAATGATGAGTAGATATAATATTCAACTCTATTATATTATAGAACACTGCTATATCGTTTGTTGAGAGATAAAAAAACATGTTGTAGGAGAGTATAAGAATTTTTTCTTTTCGTGGCAAGGGAGAGGAATATGGGAAATCTATGACTTAGGTAGTGAAGAATGGTATGGGGTAGTAATTCAACCCTGACATGTTATATCTCACCTTAACCTTCGATTGATGTTTATTTTAGGTGAGTTATCAGTTTAATTTCATTGACTTGATTGATACATTTAAAAATATGGCACTCTTCTAAGGAATTTATTGATAAAAAGGCTCCATGAATTTGAAAAGTGCCAAACTGAAAATACGAGTCTTTTAGTAAATTGATACATATATGTAGAGATATATATTGATTTTGCATGTTTGTGATGGCTGGCTAGTTTATACAACAATAAACAATAACAAAGAAAAAGCTGTGTGGAATTCAACTTTGACAAAAATTTTCATTAAGAAATGCTTGGAACAAGTGTACAAGAAACAAAGGAAAGGAATTGTTTTCAACAAAAATGGGTGGCAGGCAATAATTGAAGGGTTTGAGGCAAAAACAAGAAAAAGGTATAGGCAAAAGCAATTGAAAAATAAGCTAGATAACATGAGGAAAGAATGGAACGTATGGCATAAGTTGTTTTCAAGTGAAACCGGTTTAGGATGGGATAGTGACAAGAATACTGTTGATGCTCCAGATGAGTGGTGAGAGCAAAAAATCTTGATATGGATTAGTTGTTAAGTGTTTTTAAGATTAGAATTTAATTTTAGAATTTTAATTGTTGGTTATTTAAATGGTTGCAGGAAAATCTCTTTATGAAAAATTTAGATATAAAGGTATGAGATTTGCAAGGGAATTAACCTTGATATTCAAGGATGTCCTAGCAACTGGGGAGGCACTTTTTGTACCATCTGCTACCCAAACCCAAATAAAGGAGGATGATGGTAAGGGTATGTACCACTCTACTATTGACCTTTAAGAAGGTTCTAATGATAGTGAAAAGGAGCTAAATTTATCTAACATCGCAGCACCTACTGGGGTCACCGATGAGTTGTTAGGCTTGAATGTCACCACAAATACTGGTGAAACTAATAGTAATGGAAGTCAAGGCAAGAGAAAGAGGGTGGTAGGTGTTGGTGGGAGGAGAAAGCAAAAAGTCCCTATTAAGGAAGAGAAAGAGGGTGGTAGGTGTTGAATGATATTTATATACTATGTACTTTACATTATATACAAATAATATTTACATACTATTTTACCTTAAGTTTAAAAATCATGAAAGATTCAAATGAATATATGTTACGTTGGAATGAAAGTTGGGACGTAGATGTGGCTTATCAACTACTTTCCTTGTTACGGCAAGATATAACGGAGCAAGAAGAAATATGTCAATTAGTTAGTAAATATGTGATGCCATATGTGTGTAAAGAGCCACGAAGAACTAGCATGCAAATAGGACAAATGTGGGTCAATGAAATTTTACAAGGTCATCCTGATCGTTGTTATGAAATATTTCGAATGGAAAAACATTTGTTTAGGCAACTATGTGCGACATTAGTTGATCTTGGGCTAAAGAAGTCTAAAAAAATGAGAGTTGAAAAAATGATTGGAATGTTTTTAAATATAGTTGGACATGGAGTTAGTAATAGGATGATACAGGAATGATTTCAGCATTCAGGGGAAATTGTCCATAGAAATTTTCAAAAAGTATTAGCTGCCTGCTTTAACCTTTCAAGGCAAATATAAAGCCACTTGATCCTTTATTTCAATAATGTCATTCAAAAATTCAAAATGATTCACAGTATTGGCCATTTTTTAAGGATGCTATAGGAGCAATTGATGGCACTCATGTGCCATGCGTGGTTAATTGCTAATCAAATCAAATTTATTGGAAGAAAGGAATATGCAACACAAAATGTTATGGTTGTATGTGATTGGGACATATGTTTTACTTTTGTCATTGCGGGATAGGAAGGTACGACTCATGATGCCCGAGTATTTGATAATGTCATATCAACTCCTTTAATGCATTTTTCGTATCCACCTCCAAGTATATTTTATTAAAGTCACTATAATTATTATTGCATTGATTTAATGTTGATAAAATTTACATCACTTCATTTCATTTAATAGGTAAATATTATTTGGTTGATTCTGGTTATCCAACACTAAATGGATATCTTGGTTCATATCGTTGCAAATGTTGTCACCTTTCAAACTTTAGGCGAGTTGCAAGATTTGCAAACAATAATGAGGTCTTCAATTATTATCATTCAAGTTTGAGATGTACTATAAAAAGAACTTTAGAGCGTGGAAGAATAGGTTTGCAATTATACAAAAGATGCCCAAATTTAAATATAAAACACAAGTTCAAATTGTTGGTGCAACAATGATAATACATAACTTTATTAAGAGAAATTCAATTACTGACGAGCAGTTCATACAAGCTGAAGATGAAAGTGTAGAAGTCCAGGAGGAAGATACCGATATTGGTGAAGCATTCTCGTCAAATCTACGCGAATCGTTAAGACAGATGCAGCGTGTTTGTGATATAATTAGAGATCAATTTGTAAATCATATCAATTAAATATTAATTTATTTTAGGTTTTCATAATTGAATATTTAAAATATTTTACTTATTAGTTGTGATTTTAAATTTAATATTTTTTACTTATTAGTTAGTCAAAAAAAAATAAACATGCTTATTTAAGATTTAATATTTAAGATAAAAAATTTATACTTATTTTTGCTATTAAACGTCTCAACTGGTTTTTGAATTAAACCATCTAAACGAATTTCAATTTATCTAAATGATTTTTGAAAAAAAATATCCAAACATAAATCACATTACATCAATTAATTTTTTTTAATCTTAGTTTGCTAACTTCAATTAAATTCTAATCTCAATTATAAATTTTTTAATTTAAATACACATTTAAAAGTTACGAGAATCCCTCTCTTGATCTGGTGATAAATTTAATAATTTTCCCCGTTTATTGTCCTAATCCAGAATAAAAGCGAACAAGTTGTTGGGAGCCTTTTATAAGATAGTACGGTTCAAAATTTGTATTAGGTGCACCGCAGGTCTGAAAGCTCCACCAACACCTTGACTCACCTCGTTTTTTTTTTTAGAGTTAGAAGATTTTAAAAAATACATAGATCCTTTAGAAATCTTAAAGGTTGAAAATAAATGAAGTTATCGGCAATTTGTCAAAATAATATAAATTTTTCTTTTATTTTATCACTTCGTTTTTACGTTTGTATATAAACTGCAGCAAGAGGAAGAGAATCTCTCGAAGCTCGTCTGGTTTCTTTGCTGTTTACTTTTTCTCCTTTATTTTGATGCTGTTTTTCGTCCATCCCCTCTCAAAGAAATTGCTTTTCCGCCTCCTGAGAAAAGTTCTCTTTGCACCGGGAGATAGCGCAAAAAATAAAATAAATAGTAATAAAAGGCATGTGGAGGTTTTTTCTGTCTTTCCAGATACAAGAAAAGGCTTGAAAAGCCTCCAAAAAGGCCTAGTCTTGCTCTCTTAATTCTCTGCCCGCCATTAAAATGCCATAAATAAAGCCCTTCACCACCCTTCTTCCATTTCGCATTCTCTCTCCGTCTCTTCTTGTTGGGAATCAACTCCCGGTTTTGAGTTCGGTTCTCCGTCACCTCCTACCAAGATACGGGGTTCCCTCCATGCTCACATTCAATGCTCCTTGACCTATAGACCTGATTTTTCTCGACCACGCATACACTTGAGCACAAATTCCAGAGGAACTCTGTTCTGGTGAACTTACTGGAAACTGGTTTATCTGTGTTTCCTGATTCACCTCAGTCTGTATCAAGTATCACTGTTAAACCCACTAAACCTCATCAAGCGAAAGAGAAGGTAGAGCAGTCAAGAAAGATGATCACTCTTATAGACTTGTACCATGTTCTTACGGCGGTTGTGCCACTTTACGTGGCTATGATCTTAGCTTATGGCTCCGTGAAATGGTGGAAAATCTTCAGCCCTGATCAGTGCTCCGGCATCAACCGCTTCGTTGCTCTGTTCGCGGTTCCACTGCTCTCCTTCCACTTCATCTCCACCAACAACCCGTACGCCATGAACTTCAGGTTCATCGCTGCTGACACACTTCAGAAAGTCATCGTCTTGGTGATCCTAGCAATATGGTCAAGAGTGAGCTCCAGAGGATCCCTCGAGTGGTCCATTACCCTTTTTTCTCTGTCGACGCTTCCAAACACACTCGTCATGGGTATCCCATTGTTGAAGGGCATGTACGGAGAATTTTCTGGTAGCCTAATGGTTCAAATCGTTGTCCTTCAATGTATCATTTGGTACACCTTAATGCTCTTTCTGTTCGAATACAGAGGAGCTAGGCTGCTCATCGTTGAGCAGTTCCCGGACAGAGCTGGCTCGATTATTTCCTTCAAAGTTGACTCTGATATTCTTTCTCTAGACGGGAAAGAGCCGTTACAGACGGAGGCCGAGGTTGGCGAAGATGGGAAGCTGCACGTCACCGTTAGAAAATCCACGAGTTCACGCTCTGAAATCTTCTCTCGTCGATCTCATGGCCCAAATTCTGGTGTTTCCTTGACTCCTCGTCCCTCAAACTTGACCAATGTCGAGATTTTTTCTCTTCAATCATCGAGAAACCCAACGCCAAGGGGCTCGAGCTTCAATCACACGGATTTTTATTCCATGGTTAATGGAAAGAACGGGAGCGGTGTGAGTCCGAGGCAATCCAATTTCGGAAACTTGGGTTGTGACGAGGAGAGCGGGGTAGGTGCGTTCGGTGGTAACCCATCTCGGGCAAATGGGGGATATTCGCATGGAAGCGGGTACCCGGCGCCGCCAAATGCCGGAATATTCTCGCCGGTGGCTGGTGCGACTGGAGCAAGGAAGGCGAACGGAGCTGATGGTGGAAAGGACCTTCACATGTTCGTCTGGAGTTCAAGTGCTTCACCAGTTTCCGAAGGTGGAATCCATGTTTTCAGAGGTGGAGACTATGGCAACGAGCTCGGAGGGGCAGCTCACCAAAAAGGTTTGAAATTCCGAGCTCTGACTTTATTTGTCAACTAGTGTGGTTTTTGTCGTTGAATATTGATGTCTGAATCATATAAAAGTGTATCGATGTGATCTGCATTTGTATCATTCTTGGCCTTCATTGGTTCCTAAGAAAGTATGGTACTGCCCTTGTCTGTTCCCAGTGTTCCTACTTCTGACCAAAGTTTCTTTATCCTATATCGCTGTTGAAGTGGTGGTTTGTTATTTTCTTTTTTGTTTGTATTATTATCTTTCCCATTCACATCTTTGTTAGGTTTGAACTCTGTTATCCCCACTTCACTAATTCAATAATGCCATTTTATCATTTACGTCGAGTCATTTTCCAGTGTTGTAACTAGGCGACCATTATTTCCAATTATGTTGGTCAGAATACGACGAATTTGGGCGCGATGAGTTTAGCTTCGGGAACAGAACCGTCACGAATGGGCATGACAAGGAGGGCCCTGTGCTGTCTAAACTCGGTTCAAGCTCCACGGCAGAGCTGCATCCAAAGATTGGAGCTCAATTAGAATCTAAAACTTCAGCCATGCCTCCTGCTAGTGTGATGACCAGACTCATTTTAATTATGGTTTGGCGAAAACTTATTAGGAATCCCAACACTTATTCCAGCCTTTTTGGTCTCACGTGGTCTCTGATTTCATGCAAGTATGTCTTCGCTATCTCTTCAAAAAGGTTTACCTGGATTTTGCATTCTCTGCTGCTTGTGTTCCAACATTATGAATGCTTTTACGTTGTAGGTGGAATGTTGCTATGCCCGCTATTGTTGATGATTCAATCAAAATTTTATCTAATGCTGGCCTTGGGATGGCCATGTTTAGCCTTGGTATGTTAATGAAGATTTTCTTTTGTTTGTCATCCTTGCTACATTTATAAATTTGTTATTTATATATTGTTATTATTATGTCACCAGCTGCGTGTTGGACTATGTGTTTGCAGGATTGTTCATGGCCTTGCAGCCAAAGATCATTGCATGTGGAAATTCAGTGGCTACATTTGCCATGGCTGTTCGTTTCCTCGCTGGTCCTGCAGTAATGGCCGCTGCTTCATTCGCAGTTGGACTAAAAGGAGTTCTTTTCCACATTGCGATTGTACAGGTAATACCCAACACACATTCAAAGATATGCTCAAGTTGCTATAAATCCTGGGCAAGTCATTGAATTGTAATGATGACCTCATGTTTTTGCTTTCAGGCTGCTCTTCCTCAGGGGATTGTTCCTTTCGTGTTTGCTAAAGAATACAATGTTCATCCTGACATACTAAGCACAGGGTTGGAACTTGAAACTCCCTTGTTATTTATTAGTTTCTGCTATGCCTTGTAAAACATGTACTTAACTGTTAAAAGGTTTTTATTGTGCTTCAGGGTTATATTTGGGATGCTAATTGCTCTTCCAATTACGCTGGTCTACTACATTTTGCTGGGGCTTTGAAGCATGTTGGGGACACAAGAGGAACTCTTGCAGGAAGGCTAATTGCAGGGGATTATTGCATCGAAAACCTTTTTAGGGTGGGTGGGATTTTTTTTTTGGGGGCATCTAACAGCGTAGAATTTAGAAGTTAGTGGGAAGGAAAGTGAAGTTGGTTCCACTTCCCAGATCCAGAAGAACTACGAGAGACAGGAGGAACAATGTGAGGAGATGCTAAGCCAAGGTAGTTTAGTTTAGGGTGTTGGGTTATAAATCTGATGTTTTTGCCGCTTTTCGTTTCTTGGCTTTTGAAATCTTGTGAACCCCACTATTTTTAATGACGAAAGAAGTGAAGCTTTTCTTTGTAGTTGTCGACAAGTCTCTGATTAAACTCAGTATGAGTGAGGCTGGGAGGCTAGAAAGTAGAAAGAGTAATGGAAGGCAATTGGGAATCTCAATGCAAATGCGACAATGCAACAAAGATCAGCAAAAAGTGGATTTTATACAGAAAAAGTGGGCAAGCAGACAGAAACTTTTATGTGGGTTGTCTGCTAAGTGTCTTTGCTATGAGCGTACTGTTTCATTTCAGGGCCACTAGCTGTCACTCTCGATCTCGTACTTAAATCACTGGGCAATATAAAAGAATTGAACATGGTTTGGAAATTGAAGCGAGATGGGGCTAAAGCTGTAGTGAAGCCGTAGAGCCTATCAGCCTTGATAGGGGCTAACAGTAGGCGTGGGAATGAAAAGGGCTTGTGAATAATGGTCACTCTGGTTCAGTCCCTGTCATCCTTTGAGAGTGGAAATATCCCTCCTTTTAATTTGAGGTGGGAGTAGTTTCTCAGTGGGAAAAAAGAAAGAAAAGAGTAGCTGCACGTCGGCTAAAAATAATGAGCCAACATTTGTCCCGATTGAGGGCGGTGTTTGCCAAAATGACTTTTGTTTTTATTCCCTAATCAATATGAATTTGATGCCTTGTCATTTATGAGCAATGCTTTCATCAGAAGGTTAATCTGATGTGTCAATCTGGAAGAAAAATCTTCCAAAAGAATAACCTTTACATGAAAGAATCTCATTTCCTTGCCTTTCTATCAAGTTCGGCAATTCTTGTTTTTCTTCAGATGACATCACTCGACAAGACGACAACCTTTACTAATTCCTACGAAAAAAATCTACCATTCCCACCTACTTTTGATCGGAGAGTCCCGCTTCAACGTATTTTTATTACTTGAAGTCAAACCGGTGACCAAGGTTACGCTTATATGGGAAACGAAAAAGGTCATTCCGCCATTCCACTGTTCAAGGCTTCATCGACAATACATAAATTTAGTGATGAATTTAAGGGTATAAAAAAGTTAGTTGAAATTTATTTTTTTAAGAAAATATACATCTTTTTAATTATATTTTTATTAAATTAAATTTTTTGTATAATATTTTAACAATAACAATTGAAATTGTAATGGACTTTCCTTTTAAGGAACTAGATGATGTTACGAGACTTTTATATCATAGGGGATTAGAACTTAATTGTTCATAATTTTGGTAGAGATTCTAATTTATTTGCTGATTATCTTGTTAAGATGGCTCATTTTATAAAAAACTATGCTTGAAAAACTTGGTCATGTTGTTATTGTTTTTTGTCTATGAATGCAATTTTCAATCAAAAAAAATTGTAATGGACTTTTTCAAAAAGAATAATAAATAAAACAAGAGTGTGGTTTGAAAAATTATAAAAAAAACTAATACCCTATATTTTAATTTAAATTAAGCAAAATTTTTAAAAATCGCCTTATATTATAGAGCGGAGGAAGTATATCCGTGTCGTATATATGTGTGTGTATATATATATATGATATGTGTATCATCTTGAAAATTAAACTCCTGACAATTGAGTAATTAAGCTTAAATAAGTGGGAATTATGTGGTATATAGTCAGAGAAGACTAACAAGTGTTTTTGGTATGATTTCAGCCATGAATTTGGGGTCAAAGTAAAATTGGGTCACTTGGACATTTAAAGAGGGGAAAAATAAAGGAAGAAGGCCACCGTGCCACATGCCGCGACACATGCATAGTGCACCATGACGTACAAGGCCAAGAGACAAGGAATAACCTTCTCTATATCACATACCACGGTACATGATACACTTTCTGTAGAAATAAGATATGAACTAATGTAAAAAATAAAGAGAAGAGATAGAGAAAATGATGAGAATATGAGAACTCTGCTAGGGCACAAATTGAGAGTTTGAAGCTCCCGATCACTAAGGTAAGTCTTTTATATCTTTCCTCTTCCTCTCTACACTAGTTTAAAGCTAGGATTTGAAGCGTAGAATTAATTTTAGGTCCATATAAGTTACGGGTCCGAACCTATTGACTCAAATGGAGTTTATGAGACTTGTTTGATGTATTTAAATAAGTGATTAAGGGTTTTACATGTTTTTGGTATGTAGGCTCCATTAATATTTGAAAATAGGTGATAAATGTGGAGTTATGAGAGTTGTTGTAACATTAATAACCTTATGTGAGTTTGATGATTATTAGGTAGGAGTGATAGAAAATGTTAAACCCAATGAGTGAGCCTAAATGTGAGAAATAAATGTATTGGGTATTTTAGTAATGACAATGTGAGAGCTGAAAGTGTGTTTTTAGTAATGTTAATTGAGTTTGAACTTAATTAATTATAAATTAATCATTTGAACACCATATTTGGCTTGAAAAACAAGTTTGAAAGTGTATATTGAGAAATAAATCTTTGACCTTTTGAAGATTTGAAATAATCAAGGGAACCCTAGCTTGGATATTTTTTGTTAATTGAGTTTTAATGTGAAAATGTGTGTGTTTTCATATATGATTGCATTGTGAATGTGAAAACATGCCATAAATTATATAATAGTATATAAGTCTTGTTTTGACTTGAAATGTGGAGTTAAAATTCAAAGTGATTTGCAAACTATAAATATATTGGTGTGAAAAGTGTGATGATTATGTGTTAGTAAAGAAATTGATGATTGAGTGAAGTGAAAAATGTTTGCGAAAACAATATTAATGCTGAAACGTTCTCACTCCACTAAACATCATTAACAAATAAAACTCATGGTAATCAAGGGATTAACTCAAAGAATGATTACCAAGGTTTAATCTAAAAGTAAGGAATTTCAAGTTTTTTAAATAGAAACGAGTTAAAATCAATCAAAATCTTTCATGTTCGAGAAAAAATAAGTTAGGAAAGCATGTGATACCTCAGAGGAGTAAAAAAAGTCAAAAACGATTGAAAAACAAAACATATGCTGTGATACAGGGCAATGCGTCGTGGTTCGTGCATGCTACACTACGACATGTTGCTCTTTGTGCTACGTGCCGTAGCTTAGGCACCATGCGCCGTGATGTGTTACACGAAATTTTTGCTAATTTTGCTGTCATTTGACAGCAGAATTGGGGAACTTTTGACTCTCCCTGATTCTCCATCCGATGTTCGAATGACGTAATCTAAGTGTCTACGAAAAGTTCTTTATAAGTACTAGCTAATGGTATAGGTTTCACTTCCAAAACAAGTCACACCAGGAAGTTAAACATTCAAACATATTTTAATCACTTTTCCACACTTTTACATAAAATGGGTGTCCAAAACCCTCAACAAGTGTTAAAAGTTTTTCCTAATACCTGGACCATATTCGATGGACCTAAGACTACCAGTATAATACGGCATAAGCACTAAGACATTATTATAATAAAAATTCACTCCTCAAATCCATTTTATCAAAAACAGAGGAAAAGGTAATTTGTCATTGCATTTGCTCAAATCATTTCAAACATGTTAAAATCTTTATTTCTATACTTGTACTAGTATTTTGACCCTATAAGCATATATATCAACATACATAAAGGCTAAGGGCTCAAAATACAATTCTAACGTTTCCAACAACTAAAATAGTGTAAGTGTGGTGATATGCATCCTAGAATTAGTAAATCATATACCATTACACAATTAAATCTAAACTAGAGGTATATAGTAGGAATATTCTAATTCCCCACCTCTTTAGTCTTCTCCCTCTCAACACCATAGCTAAAGCCTATAAAAGTATTAAATAAGAGAGGGTGAGTTTAGCCACTTAGTAATTAAAGATAAACCTACCCTATACAGTTATATATTAATTATAAATTAAATACATACACAAGAAAATCAAGTATGTAAAATATGCTGGCGTATAACATAACTTGACGATTATCATTAAATAGCAACTTTAACTCTCATAGCTAGGTGCATTATCACCATATTCTCATATATGTGATATGACCCATACTCATGCGACTTACCAATACTTAACATGTGTGACACGTCATATATTTACTTAGGTAATGATCAACCAACCTTATATCCTTCTTATTTCCTTAGATCGAAATCGTAGGCTATAATATTGATTAAGGCTTTGTCCGTGTGACTGGACTATCCAAGCTCACCAATCATGAGATGTGACTCGGTCAAAGATCACAGCACTCACTCTCAGACCACGGCTTCCCCCATTCTCGAATCCCTGGAGTGTCTCATACCCTAGGCTATTCTCTCATTGAATCAGTGGAGATAGCTAGGTTCTAGTCCCTTGACAAACTATGGGACAATCTTTCGATAAATAATGGGATAAGGCTATAGCCCTCGTGCCCTGGAAGGCAGCCTAAATACTATATAAATTTTTTCTACTCCTAATCCCTAAGCAAACTCCCGCAATTGATCATGCCATAATCAATTACTCACTATTTTTCACTTTTTCGCTTCCATATACTCATTATTACGACAACCACTTTGGGCTCATGACATGCACTACCCAAGTATTTATTCTCATCATCTTCTCAACATTATTCTCATTGATTTCAAAATCCACTTCTCAAAAATTCACTTCTCATTAACACATAAATACCTTTACTCATCATTGCATTTATTTTTCAAAAACGTGAGTATGTTCTTAGTTAAAAATTCTCTTGACTTTGCATTTTGTGTTTTAAGCCAAAATAGCATTATGCTCAATCAAATATTTATACACTCATTGAAACTAATATATATTTTTACATAAAAATCAATCTCATGCATGTAAAATTCACAATTTACATTCAATAATCCATTAACAATCAATTAATATATAACTACCTAAAGTAGAGTTTCCCCCGATTATCTTAAATCTTTGAGAGGTCAAAGGTTTACCCCTCAATCAACTAGCTTCCAAGCTTGAATTTTCAATCTAATAGGTGACCAAGAGCCAAAGTTACAATCAACCAAGTTGAATTCCATCAATATAACCAACTTAACATTTAAACCCTCAATCTCCACTCCCAAATTGCCTAATATTTACTTTACAAGAGTTGAAGCCTATCCA